GCCAAAGAAATATTGTTTGGAAAGTTTAATCTCAATTGGAAAATAAATGCGACCTTCATTTTGTTCACAAGAATTCATGAACGGACGGACAGATGGACTGACATGCATAAATCGACCCAGAAAGTGATTCTATGCATATCCTCAGAAGTAACTATGGATACATCTCGATCCTTCTCCCTGTTACAAACAAATGCACAAAGACATAGTACCCTTTCCACTATGTGGTGTAAGGTATAAAAATCGCACGGAACAGAACATCCATGTATTGCATATATCATAACGTGGTCCATCAAATTTCCATCCAATACGAACCCTAGATTGCAGCACATTTGTTAGGAAATTGGAATTGGGATCGGTGAAGTGCCGAATATTAAGAAAAAGCGATATGTGAAGGTAATCTATATATTAAAGAGTAGTGAAATAAATGACTGTCTAAGATTCAAAAAAAAAAAAAAATTGGAATGAGAGTCAATGATGAATGTACTAAGTTTTTATACCCTCAGTTTGTCCGTGTATTTTTGTAAACAAAGTACAGTTCGCATTTATGTGCCTATTCAGATGAAATTTTGCACAAATCATTTGTTTGGCCCAAGGACGAACCCTATTGAAATTGGAGATAATCGGTCAAAATTTAGATATAGTTCCCATATGTGTCTTCGTCCGATTTGCCTTTTATTGTGCACCAAACGTGTAATATCAGCCTGAATTGTATGGAATTTTGCATATACACCCAAATTAGGCCTGAAAATAAGTATGCCCAATTTGATCGAAATCGGTTCAGATATAGCTATAGCTCCCATATATATTGTTCATCCGATTTGTTAGTTTTGTTCTCCATAGCCGTAATATGCACTCTGTAACAACAATATTTGGAGCAAAAATATATCAAATACAGCTCAGAAATACATTTGCTAAATTTTATCGAGGTCGGTTCAGATTTGGATATAGCGCCCATATATAACTTCATCCGATTTACTTTTATTGTGCACCAAACGTCTAATATTTGTCCAAATGGGACGGAGCTTGGCACTTACGACCGAATTGAGTCTAGAAGCTAGTATGTTAAATTTGATCGGTTCAGATATAGCAATAGCTCCCATATATACTGTTCATCCGATTTGTCATATTTGTTACCCACCACCGTAATATGCACTCCGTAACAACGATATTCAGGGAAATATATCAAATATAGCTCAGAAATATCTTTGCAAAATTTTATCGAGATCGGGAGAGATGTTCACCCACCGTCGGTTTGAGATATTTTGAATAGCCTGAACTTATTTGTCAGCCATAGGCTTTAATTTAACTGTTAAAAACCTATATGATTTAGAACATCTATAATATCCCCATTTGCAAAACTCATCTCAATTTTTGATTTCGTAAAAAGCTTAGCAATATTTTCCAATCAAATGAGCTGTAATTTGGTTTAGAATAACGTGCTGCGTGGTATTTAGTTTTGTCCACCTCATAATTCAGGGCAGAATGATGTCAGAATATTCAAAGTAATGGTTGTATAACGTAAGATGGAAATTCATTTTTTGTCATTTAAATTGTGCGTTGGAGACCCCATAAAGTCCATATTTTTCATAGTAGTATGATTCAATGACTATAAAAGAAATATTCAGTTTCTGCAACAATTTCCCACTGAATGAGTCCCAGTTTGACATTTCGGGGGGTTAAATATTCAATATAATACAAAATTTTCTTTTCTGACCACACATTAGTTTAGAGTCGACTTTCGGGTACACTAATGTGGGGACTGTGGATCCTTAAATAAATGCCTTTGTGGACAATTTTATGTAAGATGTAATACAAATTTTTTGCCAAATCAATTGATGAAGTTGGTCAAGATCAAAATGGGTCTTATTTCGAAAAATTTTTTGCGAAGAGGTTTTCTACCCACTTAGAAACCATGATGCCACATAAGGGCAAAAAACAATGAAAAAAGTGTCCAAGACCCCGAAAATAGCTTAAATCTAAAATATACTTGAAATCGGGTTGTACAGGGTTGTCCATATTTGACGGACCCATCTGGCAACGCCATAACTTTTGACAGAGATGTCACATCGCTTAATGACATACCGCGTTTGAAGCGTCAGTCTAAGCAGATATTTACCATGAACCAATACACGCCACGCGAGCGCTCTGAAATAGTTGAAATTTACATTCAACAGAAGAAGTCAATTGTGAAAACTCAACGTGCTTCTAAAACATTAAAAAATGTGAGAAGTGCGCCTTCTAAGAACAGCATTAAGCGTTTATACGAAAAATTTTCGACTGGTAAGGCTCTTTCTAATCCGAAGAGGCCATATAAAAGTCGACCAAGGCGATCGGCCGAGAATATCGCTGCCGTACGAGCCAGTGTTGAGAGGTCCCCAAGAACATCCCAAAAACGCCGTTCTCAGCAGTTGGCCATGGCTCAGTCCACTTTACAACGGATTATTCGCATTGATTTGCATTTGTTCCCGTACAAAATTCAATTGACGCAAAGAATGTTGCCTGCGGAAAAGCCTCGTCGATTGGAATGGGCCCAAAGGGCCCAAAGGTCCGTCGAATATGGGCAATTCTGTATAGATTTGATACAGCCAAAACCTGCATCACGAAATAACGATTTCAGACCCTAAGTCTCTTTGGACCAAATCCGTTTCAGAACATTTGCAGTCGATCAAGTGATGTCCGTCCATCCGCCAGTCCGGCTGGCTGGTGCGCACCATAACTCTCGAAGGGAGTATCCGATTTGGCCAATCTTGGTACATCGTAATAACATTTTCATACTTAGATCAAGTTCGGAGATGGACGCGAACTTAATATCCGATTCAATTTAGACTTGACACATCTCAATATTTCTATCAACAAAAGATCTGTTATAAAGATGGTAGAGATAGGACCATTCCTTCTGGTACCTCCCTCACAACGATTATAAAATCGGAAATAAGCATCCGGTTCTCGTCATATTCTCTCTCCATATTCATATTTCACACATCCCATTATTCCTACTAGAACAAGATCTGTTGTAAAGATGTGATATATCGGATCACTCCTTCTGGTACTTCCCCCACAAAGGGTCAAAATTTTGAATATTCATGAAGCTCATAAAACGCGAAATTAACCTCCAATTCAATTTATACTTGTTACATCTCAATACTTCATCAACATATATCACATATCTCATATAAAGTGAAGGAAGTAACCAATATACTCCCAATTTGGCACGTCACAATATTTATATCATATTTATGTAGGTCTAATACGAAGAGGACAATATTGGCCCATTCCTTCGAAACCTACTTCAGAGTCAAAAATTTTAATAATCATAACAGATGTCAAAATATATTTAATTCATCGAACATTGACTGAGGGTATACAAACCCGATTGATAATTTTTAACTAGTTTTTTGGAAATTCGAACTTTAAGGTTATGAAAAGATTTTAAATGGTGGAAAAATGGTTCCATTTGGTATCATGTGAGGATATAGAAGGCGTTGTATTCTAGGACCTATTGTCGAATTTTATTGCAAATCATTTTGTAGAACATTTCGACTTGCTGTGATCCCCGTTTAAAGGGAGTTTTGAAAGATATTTTTAAAAAAATGAAAAAGGAAAAATAAAATATTTGACCAAAATAATCCTCCGGTTTTTACCGTAATATTGCCCTAAAATGCAAGAAAATTTAAAAAATATGTTTTCGATTTTCCACTCAGCTATTTTTATACCCTCCACCATACATAGTATGGAGGTTATATAAAGTTCGTCATTCCGTTTGTAACTCATCGAAGTAATAATTTTTGATCCAACAAAGTATATATATTCACTGTCCGTTCGTCCGTCCGTCCATCAGTCCGTCTGTTGTAATCACGCTACAGTCAAAACGAATTAAGATAGGAAGCTAAAATTTTGCACAGATCTGTCTTTCGTCTGCAGGCAGATCAAGTTCGAAATGGGCTGTATCGGTCCACGATATCGTATACCCCCCATATGACGGTACCCCCCCCCCCCCCCCCCACCACCACCACCACCGTTATTCGGTATTTTGATGATTTTAGCCACATTTTTCAATGAAATTGTCTGAAATTCTACAAAAGGAGTTCTTTGTGAACACCTTACCCCCTGAAAGAGAATAGTCTATATATCCCCCATATAACGGCACCTTCCGATATTCGGTCGTTTTATGATTTTTGCCACATTTAGCAATGGAATTGTCTGAAAATCCACGTAAGGAGTTCATTTTGAGTACTTAATCCCCTGGAAGATAATTATTTTTTATAGGACCACGATATCGTATAGCCTCTATATAACGGTACTCCGAAATTCGGTATTTTCATGATTTTAGTCGCATTTTCAACGGAATTGTCTGAAAATTCACACAAGGAGTTCCTTGCGAGTAATGCATCTCCTGCAAGAGAATTATCCACGATATCGTATATCCCCCCTATAACGGCACCTTCCGATATTCATTATTTTTATGATTTTAGCTACATTTTGGGTGGAATTGTCCACCGCATCCTGAAAAAGAATTATCTGTGTAGGTCCACGAGTTTTTCAGTATTTTTAAGATTTCAGCCAAATTTTTCAATGGAATTGTTTTTAAATCTACACAAGGGGTACCTTCTGAGTACTTTACTCCTTAGAAGAAAATTGTCTAAATAGGTCCACGTTTTAGTATAGTATTTAACAGTTCCCCTAGATATTCGGTATTTTCATCATTTTTGCGACATTATTCACCGGAATTGTCTCAAATTTCGTATATAAAGTTCGGAACCTTTACTACAACCTATTACGCAAATTACTTATGCTGGACCCCGTCTTCGTATATCCCCTATATAGCGGTTTTCATTTGATCGGTATTTTTTAACGGAATTTCTTTTGAAATTTTTCAAGTTTCTTCCAAATGGTGGAGAGTATAAAAAGTTCGGCCCGGCCTAACTTAGCTGATTATTTACTTTTTTTATGAAAAAAGTGTTATTTTTATTTACAAAAAATTAATTTTTTTATTTGAAATATGTACACTTTGTTTCCCCTTACAATTGTTTTTGGGGTTATTGGAAACATAAACTGACCTCTCTTTAAATGGTATCCTTTGGATGCGCTTTATATACAAAAACAAATTATTTTTTACAAATCCAAAGTTTTGTAAATCTATGTGGCTCGTTCGCTCCTAATGATAGAATCCATGATGATAAGGATAGTAACCATGACCACCACCATAATAGGGAGCGGCATAGCCATGATGGACAGCAGCATAGCCACCATAATGAGGATAACCAAAACCATGGCCATAATAGCCACCATAGCCGGCTAAACCATGACCGTAACCGAAACCATAAATGCCACGTTTCTCTGTTTTCTTCTCGGCCAGGGAGGCATCCACCTCCGATTTGGGTTCAGCCGAGGCAGCATAACAAGCGGCCAAAGCAAAGATGAGGAAAATGCACAAAACACTCTGGAACGAAAAGGATTTCTTTAATATTTTATTCAAACAATTTTCGATTTCTTTTCAAATTTTTAATTTGTTATCCTTGTTTATCCTTTGCTTCGTATTTATCCTATTCTCTTCACTTACGAAATATTTCATTATGTTTGTTGGTTTTTAGAATTATTCAAAAGATTGTGATCTTTTTGTATGAGAGCTTAATTGCTTTTGACGTTTAGTAGACGAACTGTGGCCATATTTATACTGGCGAAGATCGTCTGAGCCGTCTTTGCCTTTGCATCGTTGCATTGGGTGCAGCTGAGGTGAATATTAAAATGCAATATGCTCGGAGCCCTCTCAGTTTGGTCGTCCGTCACCAGCAAACCTCAACATCATCAGAAGTAGCAGCAGCAGCTGTCTGGGCAAGCCCTCCTCAGTATGGTAGTGGGGCAATGTAATACCCCCTTCTGTCCACCACAGCAGCAGCACCAGTCGTTTTATTTCTGCATTTATTTTAAACTAAACAATGGCTTCAATTACCCCTCTTTGAAAACTATAATATAATTATTCGTACATAGCTATAAATATTTGTGTGTGTGTACTGTACGTTAGTATGTAACAACGGTCATGTATAATTATTTTGGTCTATTGTCTTATATCTAACCTACTGCTGATGTCTTGTCATATTTTCCAACACTTAAAACTGTTATAAGACCGTTACAGAAACGAGGCATTGATTTCCAAATATTTCAATTTTTTTTTTTTTTTTTTTTTCATTTCATTGCATTGTCATCAGTTTGGGGCGTACAGACCACCAGACCGCCACCCCCAAAAAAGGGTATCGAATAACTAAATTAATTTTCATGACAGTTGGTGGTTTTGTCATATGAGTTTTGCATGATTGTCATCAAAGTGTGTTAGATTTTTTTGCAGGAAGGCATAGAAGGTGGACAATTGGCAGATAAATATTAACTATTACAGTTATATTTATAGTTATCGAAAATCGAAATAGTTATCGAAAATTAAATATAACAATTATAAAAGTATCGGTCGATTTTGCTGACAAATGTATACCCTCAGCCAATGTTCGATTATTTAAAAATATTTTGACTCTTTTTATGATTATTCAAACTCTTGACCCTGTATGGAGTAGGGTTTGAAAGAATGGGCCAATATTGTCCATTTCGTAGCGGACCTAAAAATATATGATATAAATATTGCCACGTGCCAGGTTTGGACTATATTGATTACTTCCTTCACTTTATATTAGATATGTGATAATTTTTTGAAAATCTTAAAATGTGCGTGAGGTACCAGATATAGTCCAACGAAGTATTTCATTTTCATGCTTCATCTAATACAGATAAATATATTGGTATGGCGAAAATTATAAGAAAAACGAACATTTATGACCAAATTATGGGAAATTTCATATTCATCTCTCTGGTTTCTGGTTGAGAGACATATATTTAGATATAGCAAGTTGTAAGGAATCGCTGACTTGTTTCGCAAGTTTTGACAGACCCTTGGTGCGTCAGGTGCCAAAAGGGGTCCGCAGATAAATATTATCTTCACAACAGACCTTGTGTTAGGAAAAGTGTTTGTTTTCCAAAATTTTGAACCCCATGTGGAGGAGGTACCAGAAGAAATGTTCCGACCTCTACCATCTTTATAGCAGATTTTGTGTTGATTGAAATATTGAGATGTACCAAGTCTAAATGAAATCGGTTGTTCATTTCGCGTTTTATGAGCTTCATGGACATTCAACATTTTGACCCTTTGTGCGGGAGGTACTAAAAGGAATGGTCCAATCTCTACCGTCTTTACAACAGATCTTGTGTTGAAAGAAATATTGAGACGTGCCAAGTCTGAATGGAATCGGATGCTCATTTCACGTTTTACAAGCTTCGTGGTTATTGAAAATGTTGAACCTTTGTGGGGGAGGTACCATAAGGAGTGGACAGATATATTCCATCATTACACCAGACCTTGATGTGTGTAATTTGAACGCAATCGACCCTTACGTCACATTTTAAAAGAATTGAAATTACTCAAAATATTGACCCTTTGTGGGGGATGGGGTGGACCGATTTTGTCCATTGCACCAAATTATTTTTTTTTTTTGAAAATTTGTGGGATGTAACAGAAGCATTTGACCGGTATTACCCATCCCCGAACTCGATCTAAGTTTGGAATTAATATTACGGTGTACCAAGTTTGGATCAAATCGGATACTTCCTCCGAGAGTTATCGTGAGCACCAGCAAGCGAGAAAGACAGACAGACGGACGTACGGACATCGCTAGATTGACTCCAAATCTTCTGAAAGGGATTTGGTTTCATGAGAGCTAAGAGATCGGAAACCATTATTTCGATGAGGCACGTTTTGGCCGTATCAAATGATATATACCCTCTCTAGTCACATGGCTGACCAATTTTTCTGGTCACAACTATTTCAACGTCTTTTCCTAATAAAAATAGACCACCACTATATATAAATCCTAGAAGCCAACAGTGATCTCATTATCAAAATTCAGGATATAAGTTCAATCCATTCACTCAACGCAAATTTAGTTCCATTTAATACTTTTCGAACAATAATCCACCTCTTTCTCTCCACCAAATACACTAACAGTGACCTTCACATCAAATTTTAGAATTCCAACTCTATCCCATTAACCAATGGCACTTTTTGTGGCATTTTGCACTTTTCGTACGTTCATAGTACGCATTTCCAAAACCACCTTCTTCTCTCAACTGCAGACACCAGTAGTGACATCTATATCAAATACCAGGATTCCAGAAATATCCCTAATCAATCAATCAATCAATCCCAATATTAAATTTAGTAGCACTTAGTTCTTTTTTTACCGCTAAAGTACGCATTTTCAAAACAATCTCCATATCTCAACGTCCAGATACCAACAGAAACCTGAGTATCAAATTTCGATATTTTAGCTCTGCGATTTCCCCCATTGCCAACCAATTAGTACAATTAGTACGCATATCCAAAACCAGATACTTCTCCCAATCACAGGCTTCAACACTGACATCCAAATCAAATTTAGTATGCATATCCAAAACAATCCACATCTCTTCATCCTAGACAACAAACAGAGATCTAAACGTACTACTATTTAATACTTTTCGAACAATTTTAGTACGCATTTGCAAAACTACCGCCACAAAATCAATAGAGACCTCAATATCAAGTTTCGGAATTCAAACTCTATACATTCACTTAATATTTTTATCAATTGTACTTTTTGTATAATTTTAATACTCATTTTCAAAACCGTTCCATATCTCAATCTTAGACACCAACAGTTATCGCAATATAAAATTCCATGGTTTCAGCTCTATCCGATCATTCAATATCCAATTTAGTACAACTTAATACTTTTGGATTTCGATTAAAGCATATCAGCTCTTTTTCTTTACTCAATACCAAATATAGTGCAATTTAGTACTTTTCGTTCAATTATAGTACACATTTTCAAAGCCACCTTCATATATCAATTCCAGATACTAACAGAGATCTCAATATCAAATTTCAGAATTTTATCTCCATCCCTTCACCCAATACCAAATATAGTCCCTCTCAGTACTTTTCATACAGTTATAGTACACATTTCCAAAACCACCTCCATATGTCCAGGCTATACATGACCACCGACCCTGATACTAAATTTCTTAATTCAAACACCCAATATTAGATTGTGCGAAACATAGTACTATTTACTTTTAGTGCACATGTTGTACACATTTCCAAAACCACCACTTTATTACCACCACTTTGTTACACTGCTATAAACAGGGGTCCCAGTACAAATTTTTAAAATTTCACCCTAAAAAAACTGTTCAAAATTTAGTACCATTTAGTACAGTTCGCATAATTAGTACAAATCTCCAAAATCACCTTCGTATATCAATCATACGTCCCTAACTTGATGATCTCTATTCGTCCACATAATACCACCTGGTACCATTTTAAGAGCATTCCATTCCAGAGATTGTAACCTTTTGGTACTTCTATCCTGCGTTCCATAAGTGACCGTCATTCCCAAATTCTAGAGCATGCTGTTTGTCCAATACGAATTTCCACAAACAGCTCCTATAACAGGCCTACGCACCAAGACTGGCTCTTCTGAAAAATTTCAGGATTTTAGCTTCGACTGTTTCGTCTGGGCGTTGACCTCTAATTTAAAAAAAATCCTTTAAAAAATAGGCTGAAATCGAATAACGGAGGTACGAGGGCTATAAGAAAACGTATACTTATATAGGTAATGTTCTACTACAGGATATATAACCTATGACGAATTCTAAGTACCGAACTTTAAACTATTTTGTTAGAAAAAGTGATGTAAATCATCGAAATACCGAATATCGGAGGTATATTAACGTGGTCCGACATGGCAGGTTAAATGGCCTATGGATGAAATACACATGTGGGTAAACTTATCGCCATTTATGTCAAAGATAGTATAATTACAACAGGTGGACAGACAAGGGCCACCAGTAAATCGACTTAGAATTTTACGCCGCTCAAGCATTCATATACAGGGTGAGATGAAAAAAATGCAACCAACTTCAGACTGCTGTCATTTCTAAGCCACTCGTCCGACAGCTGGTAAAATTATTCCAGTGACAGCTCATTATATAGTATACGAGCGTACAAAAGCATTTTGGTGAGAATTTTTCAGAAAAAAAGTTATTCGTGATGGAATTCAAGCGTGATAGTGTGATTTCTTTATATTTGGCTGGAAAACCACAAGTGGCTATCGTAGGGCACTTCAGCATGTAAATGTGAAAGGTAAAGAAGCGGGAAATGGCTAGTGAGCTGAAAATATCGCAATATTCCATTCGGCAAATATTGAAAAATGAGCTCTGGCCTTACATCGAAATTCCAAAAAGTGCAAGAAAGTAGACTCAAAAGAGTTAAAGAGTTGCTTCGCTTGGCCGAAAGTGGTGAACTGCCGAATTTGGTTTTCTCCGATGAGAAAACATTCGTTGTCTAGCATTTTGTAAACAAACAAAATGATCCTGTTTACTTGCCAAATAAGTCAGCTGAAAATGGTGATGGTGTGGGCCGCCATAACAGCCGATGGTCGCTCTCCGTTCGTATTAATCGACCGTGGCATCAGAATAAATTCAGAAAATTATCGCGGAAATATTCAGGAGAGTGTATTAAAGTCTTGGACACATAAATATTTTGGCCGCAGACCTTGGACATTCCAACAGGACTCAGCACCTTCGCACTCAGCACGCG